TATATATATATATATTATAGGTGTATACATTTTATTATGTATACACCTTCTATTGGCTATTTGCTGGGGAGACCTCACAGAACATCTAGAGGACGAGAGTAGCGCTTTCCTGGCCTCTGCGCCGGCGTTTGCATTCGGCGCTGCTGGAGTGCTTCGGCCGCTCTGGGGCACTCCCGGTTCAGCCTAAGCCACAGCTGATTTTTGTCGGAATGATATGCTGGAGGCAAAAGGGACAACCGATTAATCAGTAAAGAACCTACCCAATCAAAACAATCCTCCAACATCTCAGCCAAGTGAGGGGTTTGAGGGTTAACGCCTTTTCACGGTGCCTAGAGGGTTGTGTAAGGGATCTGCTTAGTGCTTCGGGCTTCAAAACTTACCGTAGTAGGGTTAGGGTGCAGCGCTGAAGATCTTCTACTCACACCGGCTCGACTCCTTCCTGCCACCCGTCCCCATCAGCAAAGCTTCTTGAGTACTTAATCGACCTGCCTTGCCGCCCCCCTCAAGAATCAGCCATGGGGGCAGCATCAGCAAGAGCAAAACCAGGAATAGGAGCAGGAAGAGGAGAAGTCGCTTTTCAAGAAGCCACGTCTGTGGTCAATGAGGAAGCAAAAGCAAGATTAAACTCTAAGCAAAAAAGCTCAAAATCGAAACGTCGTAATATCACTAGTCATTAAGACAAGAAGGATGCACATCTCGATAGCACTCACGCAAATCTTACAATATCAACAATAACAACAAACAGCTACTGTTACTACTGTTGGAATGTCTTCTTCCAAGTATCATCCTTATTCTTCTTCGCATTTTTGCTACTAACCAACTAAAACTCTGTCTCTGGCGTCAGAGGGAGCTCAAAGTAAGCCCCTGGCAATGGCAGTCGCAGAAGGCACCGATGGACTACAATTCGTACTTCGCGGCAAAGCGGCTTCCTTGGCCTGGGATTGCTGGGGCTTCGAGGTTTTAGTATCAGGGGCTCAGCACGTGGCTAGGATAATTAGCCAATGTCGGATACACCGCCACAGCAAGACGACTAAAAGCCACCACCACCCCCAGCATCACCACCAACACGTGCTTCTGCAACTACGATTTCCACTCCTGCACCAGCCCCCCCCCCTCCCCCCCCCCC